ACTAATGTTGACAGTAAATTGCTTTCCATCTAAAGTGATTTCAGCAGGGCCAGAAATAAGCGAGGAGGAGGAGACAGTTATTTTTGTTTTCTGCCAGTGTTGAATACATTCAAGAAAACACAAGGGAGAGCTTAAAACTAAAAAGGGAGAGGAGAGCAGGCAGGAGAAACACTGAAAGGAAGCACAAAGGTTGGAGAGAACTTTGCAGGAGAGGCGGAAGGAAAGAGAAGATTGGCGGAGATATGTGACATGGTGGGCTGGAGGAAACTGGGAGGGTGAAGAAGCAGTTACCCTTGCCTTCCTCTTGCCATCCCCTGGAAATCATTTGCCTCACCAGGAGTGTGTTAGGTATTTTGTTCGTTTATTTTGTTTTTATTTACATGACAAGAGTGTATGTGTTTTGGCCACAGCTCTGTGTCCATTGTCCACCATTGTCCATGGTGGTAGTTGTGCACTTCAGCAACATGGCTGTTAATCCTCCACTGTTGCCCTCTCAGCTCCACATACCTAGAAAGGAACGTGGTGCCTGAGTCTGTGAGCCTGCAAACAGTGGAATCATTCCTAATTTGAATTGATGTTTTGGGAGCAAGTTCTGTTCAGTTGCTTTACCGGAAGGAGCATACAAGCCTGGCAGACAGAGAACTGCGTGTCCTGGGAGTCTGAGAAGGTCCTGACCAGACTCACAGTGCAGATGCTTTTGAATATAGGTTAATGTACACACAGATGTCAGGAGAACTGAGGCCTGACTTACTAATTATTATTATTATTACTAATTATTATTAGGCTTGTGACTTATGACGTAGGGTACCTCATGAAGTTGATGGCAGATGTGTAGTGAGTCGTGCTCATAATGTTGGTAGATGCTTGAGGAGGAGATCTTAGATGCAGTTCCAGGGTTTGCTGATGAAGTACTGAACATCTCGCAGGCCGGCTGTTTGGTTTGGCAATGGCAGTAATGTTCCTTTACTTCAGGAACTGTGTTGCTGAACTCGGGGATCAGGTCCAGTTCTTCAGAGTGACTGCTGCCTCTTAGGGAACTGTTAGGTAAATGAAATGTTTACGATGCCGTGGGATGATTTTTTCAATGGTAAATCTGTAACTGTTTTTCAAAACTCAGTGTGGAAGTGTTCTGACCCTATAATCTTTTCTAATCTTAACAGGACTTTACAGACTCCAACCCAAGTTCCAGTGGTTGTTTCTCCTGGCAATCAGCAGCTGCATACTGTCACACTCCAGACAGTGCCTCTTACCACAGTGATCACCAGCGCAGATCCAGCCTCAGCACCAACATCCCAAAAATTCATTTTACAAGCCATTCCTACTTCACAACCCATGACGGTTCTTAAAGAAAACGTCATGCTACAGTCTCAGAAGCCAGTCTCGCCTCCTTCCTCAATCGTGCTGAGCCCGGCACAAGTGCTCACCAGCAGCGTGCAGACAATTTGCAATGGAACAGTCAACATGGCTTCATCTCCATCCTTCAGCGCCACGACCCCTGTGGTAACGTTTTCGCCTAGCAGCTCCCAGGTGGTAGCTCATCCATCGGGCACGGTGATCACTTCGGTTATTAAAGCACCAGATACGAAACAGATTGGTGTACAAGGAGTGGTAAAAGAAGAAGACAGTGACAAATTAGATGATACCGAGCAGTCGGAGCAGGGATTCCAGCAGCAACCGTTTGTCATGGTAGTGTCTAGTTCGAATGGTTTCCCAGCTAACGTGCAAGTGAAGCAAGAAAATGAGCCGTTGGAACCCAATTCATATGTATAAATAAATTAAATAAAAAAAAAAAAGACCCTGTGGATGATTATTTTCATAAATGTGATGGGACCTTTTCAGTTATGTATATATGATTTGATTCTGAAGCAAGATGTTGCAAAGCTACTTAATTTCTGCAGTTAATTGTTAGAATTCATGCTTTAGAGTGGATTTTGATTTTCTATTAATTGCTAAATGTTATCATATAAATAAAATTATATATTACTCATGTTTCGAAATACAGGCATGAAGGAACATGCTTTTTACGCCACGAAGACTTTCTCCTGAGGTCATTGGCCAAAGGTTCAAATTTCCTGCTGGATCTTTTCAGTCCGTTGCCGATTTACATTGCAGTAACGTTATTGTAACCTTTCTGTTTAACCCCTACGTGTATCACTTAACTCTCGAAGCAACAGTTATTCCTAGTGGGACCTTTTCATTCCATGTGTATGAATTTTTATATTCAAATGTCTGTTCCATACCGGTGAATTACAGCAGTTTTAGACTTTGATAACCAGGTATCCTGTTGCTTTTTTTTTCTTTTTTGCAGCACAAGCTCTTGTGTGTGCAAAATGGAATATACACTCCTATTGAGAGTACACGAAACATTTATTCCAGTAATGGACAATGCCATGTCTATATTTTATAGGAAAACATCAGATATATTTAAGTACAGAAGCTAACAGCATCACTACAGGTGCAAACGTTCCATGCCATTCTGCGACTATGAAGCTTAACAATCTTGCTTTCTACTTCAGATTATTTTGTAAGGGGGGAGGGAAATGAAATATATACAATTTATGCAGGTGTTTGGAGATTAATACTGCTAAGAGTTCTTTTTTTTTGATTGTAAATAATGTACATTTAATGTCACAAGGAAGTTTTTTCAGCTAATTTGTTTCCATACAAATTTTTGATAGATGCAAATAAGATCATTATGTTTAGAGGTCTAATGTTATATGTATTCATATTACAGAGTGAATTTGTATTTAAAGACAAATTTTTAAATGATGGAGCCCTCTGAACCTTGGGTCCTTGCCTTTTGTATTTTTAATTGGTTTATTATGAAAATAAATCAAGTGGAAAAACATTTTTCTGTATTTACTCTGAAATGTTTTTATATTCTTACAGTGTTTTGAGGATCATCATAAATAGCCAAAATACATTGAGAAATAGGACGATGAAATTAAGCAGTGTGGGTCTGTGGTGGGACACGAGCAATTTACAAATCACTTCTGAACTGACTCGAATGCACCTGACATGCTGCGGGTGTTCTTTGAAATAGCAGTACTGTACGTTTTTGTAGCTCAAATAAACATGGAGCTAAGCCCAAGAATGGGACTTCACCTTTTCCATCACTTCCCAGTAGTTTATAGACAAACAACCCAAAACTTTCAACATAATTCTGGGGTGCTGTTCATTGCAAAGGTCTTTGTAGCTTGTGTAACCCAACCGTTGGCCCAAACCACTCGGTCTTCAAAACTTCGCTTACTGCAATGTTTCAAGAGAAGGTGGATTAAAAATAAATATGATGCCTGGTAAGGTCAGTGGCACGTAAAATTAAAGGAAATATGACTGGATTCATGCATGAGTTTTACTGATTGGTTCACAAGGTTAAATTCAACTTTAGCATACGAGTACTAGAAAAACTAATGGGAGCAGAACTGTGGCAGAGAGAGTTTGGTCTAGTTGAATAGAAGCAACTCCATGAACTGTATTGCACGAGCAGGTCTCTGCCACAGCTGCCCTGTTTCTTGGCAGTTCACACCGCCCTGTTTAATTCGGTGTTTCTTCCCTCTGACTCCCATGCAGTCAGGCTTCCCCCCTGCCAATCCAACGCGACTGACTCCACTTTCAGGAAGGCTGGATGTGCCCAAACTGAAGTGACTGCTGCCAGCCGACGGGTGGCTGTTTTATTTGGCAGCGTTCCCCGCAGCTGGGGAGCACTGGCAATATTGCTAGGAATGTGGGTAAGCATTGTAAAAACATGCCTGATACTGTTCTCATCCTGAGGGCTATTTCAGATTGATGAAAGTACTGGAGAGGGAGGCTGGTGGGTTTTTTTTAATCAGGCTATAAAACAGAGACTTTTTCCTGTAGTACAAGTATTTCATAATACTAGACCTGAGCTGGTAATGCCTGACTGACAGTGTTTTTTGAAGTGGGGAAGTTGTTCTGCTGATTTACTGGAAACACGAAGGAAAAAAAATAAAAATCACACCTTAAGGTTACAACTTTGCCAACAAAACCTCTTGCCGTATACGCAACTATTACAAAGGGAAAATGATTTGCCACCTTATGTCAGTTGGAGAAACGGAGAAAATCTCCAGCAGGTAGTAACATGACTCCAACAGAAGACTGTTGTGTAACCAACAGTAAATGAGAATCGCTCCTTCCCTGTGTCCCTTATTAGGCTCCACTCTACCAGCCGGGTGTATCCATACTTCTACTCTCCTTGGTATGACAAACGAAGGGAGAAGCTGGCATCAACCACGAACCGAGAGCTCGCACACGGAGTCCGCGCAGCTGCTCAGAGCTGCCCTTGCTCCTGTGGCAGCGGCCAGACAAAAC